GAAGAAGAAGAGAGGATCTAGATTCAAGTTGCGAAATCTAGTTATGTTAAGCTGTTATAATTGACCGGTTAATTGAATTGATTTACAAATGAAGAAGACAACGTCGAAAACGTGTTTGGCTTTCCATCACGATGACAAACACTAACAAGCAAGGACAATAATGATTAAATTAAGTCAAAAATAAATCAAACACTCCTTTATTTAGGCAGGGCCTATTGCCAAATGATTAAACTTAACACATTATCATTTTGCACCACGATTTCTTGAGAGTGAGAAGTTTTTAGACTAAATAAACGAATTATTATAATTGTTGTATTGCGAGGTAACTGAAATTTCAAACTCCCTCAATATAAATATTATCTTGTATGAATAAATAAATAAAATAAACCACTGAACCCTAATTTCAACGTTACGGTCCTATACGCGGCTGAACTCACATCAACCTATATAAAGGTTATAAAATACCTAATTAAAGTAAATGTTATCTGCCTAATAAATTAACCAAAGTTAAGAGTGATACTTAACTTTCAAATCCAAGTCCAAGTTCAAAAGTGCCTGCATAACAATTAATGCAATCGACGTCGTTTCAACTATGTGCGTAAATATTCTCTTCATTGGTTTCACTCGTGTTGACCCTACACTACCATTAAACTTGTTTGGACCAAAGTACATAATCGCTTCTGGACATATTATTAGAAGTAAATTGATTTTCATGGTCCAAAACCTTCTCCAGATAATTTACATATTTTTATAAAGTGGAAACTTCCTGGATGTTGTTCGCAATTCCTTTTGAACTGCTAGTGTTTTAATTTTTGTCTTTTCTTTAATAAAATTTGATTTACAAAAAAGAGCTCAATCAAACAAGGATATCCAAACCCAGCTACCATGATACACATACCTGCATGGACTATAACATCCAAAATAATCAACTATATATCTACACCCAAAAGTATATCATTTAGTTGAGATCATGTTGTTTGGGAGGAAGACTTAACATATGGGTGCCATGTCAATTGTATCCCAAGGCCACGTCACAATGACACATGTCTATAAATGAGAGGTCAGAGATTGAAGGAGAGAGATCATATCAGATGGACACTATTGTTACATTATAGCCTCGAGAAACAACTAACATAAAGTATTGTATATTCACAAGTATTGAAATTATTTGATAATTTGTTTAGTCTTTCTCCCATAGTGATTGTTTTATTTGCTTTTGTCATCCCTTTCCTTTTTTTATGGGATCAATTTGCCTTAATTTGCTATCATATTAGGCTTATCATGAACACTACCATAAAGTATTGTTATGTTTTTGATGTGGATATTTGATTACGGGATTGGTATCTATTAAATTATAATGCGTAAGTTGAACGAATAATATTTTTTTCATTAATGTAGATGGATATTACCATTAACCGATGAGGAATCTGTTACTCGGTGGGTATGGTTATGGATAATCCTCGATTATTAATTTGGGGTCATGGATGTGGTTAATTTTTATGATTATGGAGGTGGATATGTCATTTTCTTCCCAAACCGAACCGTTGCCTTCCCTATTTGGGAGGAAGACTTACCATGGGTGCCATGCCAATTGTATCCCAAGGCCACGTCACAACGACACATGTCCATAAATGAGAGGTCAAAGATTGGAGGAGAGAGAGAGAGATCACATTAAATGGACACTATCGTTACGTTATAGCCTCGAGATACAACTAACATAACACCCTTGTTTTATGTAAATTATTGTTCATATTTGAATATCATTTTAAACGCAATAACTTGTATGAAACAAGTTGAGCACACATTTGAAGGGAGAAGAGATAACAAGAGGGTTGCATGCGAAAGATCATATTATCTTCTTTGAGCTAGCTAGTTCTAGGGTTGGTTAATAGCAATTATGTACTCTGAAATCTTAATCTATAAGTAATGTATAATATTACCCAAAAAGTGTCACATCCATGCCAAAGATCCATCTAAAGTTAAAGTGTCCGATTAGATATATATTTCGTTGTTAGTTTACTTGTATGACTAATTTTGCAGTTGAATAAGTTAGAATGTTGAGATTAATTAACAGATTAAATTGTGATTGAATATGGCCCACTGAAAATCATTTCTAAGTCCCTATTTATGTAACTTTGAGATTTTTAAATGGAACATTCTGAATGATCTAGGACTTGTTTAATATTACTTTTAAAATAACTGAAAGCGTATTATGTTGAAATATTTTTTAAATCAATTTTTAATAAAAATACAAGTGAATCATGAAAAAACTTTTGAAGTACTTCCTACAATAAACACATAGCTGGTGTTTCTTGCAGGAAACATTTTAAGTGTTTTTGAAACTCAAAACCGTTTTTCTAAAAGCACTTTTTGTCGTTCTAAAAACATTTCCAAATAGTTCTTAATTAGTAATGTCAAGGCTTTTAGCTTTGTCCCTCGATTCTTTCAGTTGGCGTATTCCCCTTTAAGCTATATTTGGCCCATTTATTCTTGAATTTATTTCTTAGCATGTATGTCATTCTAATTTCAAAACATTAACTTCATAAGAGTATTTTTTATTTTTTATTTTTTAATATAGAAAAGTGATATTGAGAGAGGAGAAGTCAGGGAACACCGAATACACAGAACAATAAACTTAATCGACAGAATAACAATTTTTTTTATATAAGAAAAAATCAATACTAGTCAGAAATTATTTTCGCCTTAAAATTTCACTAAGTGATTTATTTAATGTCCCTAAGATCTCCAAATCGTGGTTAGGCAAATAAATAATAATAACAATAATAATCTCCAAATCAACAGCAAGAAGAAGTAATTAGGATGTCGATCTGTAGTCCCAAACAATTCAGCTTGAGTGTATCTTCTAAGTTATATCCAGAAGGGAACAAATAGGATGACAAAAGAAGACAATGATCGGTTGGAGTCCAAGATTACGATAAAATTTTAATTGTGACAGGAACATAAGTAGTACACCATGTGTTTTAATAAAAGTTTTGGGAAATTTTATTTTTAAGTTGTTAACTTTTTAACACATATATCCTATCATTTGTATAGTGACATATGGTATACCATCTGTGTACCGGTCACACTGAAAAATCTCTCCAAGATTACCACTAAATCTGGCTGATTAGGTCCAAATCCATGGGCTGAAATCCAAACATAAATTCTTAAAGCAAGGATTAACCAAATAATTGCCTAGCTAGCCACAAGAAACCCAAAGATTCTGCTCGTGACTTAATTAAGGATATTTAATTAATTAAACATTGCACGGACACAATAGTAGAACTGGAACTTTATGCATGTCGATCCTTAAACACGATTACGACCAAAATTATAGAATTGACCCTCTCAGATTGCGTCGAAAATATCTCCATCCTTGAAGTTGAAGCAGCAACCGATGATAACATGAGAAATATTGATTTAACGAACCAACAACAGCACCAGAATACTCCAAGCTAGCAAGAACCCACCAAGACGTTCATGTTTGAGCACCAAACATGTATTAATAAGTACAAAAGACACACCTAACACTTCCAAATTTCACAATGATTAGACAAAGCTTGTTTCCTTAAAAATCTAAAGGCTCGTTTAGTGTCTAGGATAAGAATGGAGCCATGTTGAAGGAAGAAATGAAGAAATTTTGTCAAAGCTAAAAGTAAAAGATGAATCGCTGATCATGAAGGAAATTGATCGCTTCTAATTCCGCACAAAATAGTAGGATATAAGTAGCTTATAGATTATCCCCTTTAATCCCTATAAAAATGAAAATTTTCACACATCTGCCTCCATTTCTTACTTCAACAGACATGAATCTAATGATTTATCCTTCATTCCAAACGACTTTATCACCAAATGTCTCTTCCAATGCAATTGACTCAACACCTTCACCGCAGAAGCATGCAAAGGTTTTGGGATGGTGGTGGGATTGCGGTACTGGTTAAGTAATGATGCTTGTGCATTCAAGCATTTCTTGTGTATATCGTTTGTCCCATCATGCATAACCAAATTGTAGTAAGCTAGGCCAAGTGGTTAGTACTTAAAAATACGAACTTTCAAATCATATTCTCTCAAAGACTGCAATAGTTTAGAATATCACATTGTAAGGGGAAAAAGGTAATATGAAAATATAGTATTTCTCACGTCAATAAGAGTTTAATCTTTTAGAACTGGGAATAATAGAAATTAAATAGCCACAATAGGGTGAATATGAATGTAATCGGAGAGTAATCTTCTAATATCGAATGTCAATCTACAGTATATAATACATATTGCTCGTATTACTAACAACGAAGTAGGCTTGTACCCGGTACCCAACAATCTTTTCCCAATTTGATTTTGAAATTTTTAGGTGTTTCTTTGGTCCTACAACTAATATTAGTCGTTGTCCATTTGTTATAATTCACATTCATGAGAAAAAGCCCAGATTCAATTCAATAAAAGCAGTATTATGGAAGGGCTATCAGTTAGTTGTATTTCATTTGTCTCAAAGTCTTGTTGCACAGGCTCTCCACCAGCCCTCCTAAGTCTAGCATGCCACCAACTGTTGTATTTTGTAGTCGGACCAGTTGCTTTCAGATCATCCGCGACAGCTCCCCGCTGCCTCGAACATCCCACATACTCTGAAGAACTATGAGGTTTTGGTGAAATTCCAAAAGCAGCTGTTGAGATTCAAAGACGCGTAGCACAGCCTTTTTCTGGAACAAATTGACTTGCACACCTGGTAGTTCTGTCCTCAACCTTCACCACTGAAATATGCAAGGTTGGGATGGTGGTGGCATTGCAGTGGTTTATGGTGGAATTCCATGGAGAGTGATGCAAAATTTCGATTGAGATTTGTTATAGCTCTCTGAAGCTTAATATAATGAACTACTGGGATAAAGCATCGTAGGTAGTAGTTCGGTGATAGCAGCGAGACGTCCAACAAAAGGAGCTCCGAGTGTACTCTACTGTAACTCATTTTCCTACCGTGCTTTCAAGTACAACGTCTTACAAAAAATGGATAATCAAATCAGAAGAAATGAATTAAGCATGAATTCACATGGATGCTGTAGAACTGAAAAAAAAAATATCAGTTATGAAATGAATAATACAAGACCTAGCAGATCTTCTATCCTTCATGCTCATGCGGGTTGGCTGGTTTGCTGATACGATGACTTTGTTTGTTCGTCCACATTGGACGGCCTGCAAAACTTCTGGTCATGTACCTAGTGGAACGTATATTCAGCAGCGCTGGTATACCTATAATAAGATAGACAGCCAAGAGAAGCACAACAATCTTATGAATCCATGGGGCTGCTAGTACTATTCCTGTTTTTCAATCTTTTGAGACTCGAACAACTAAGCCTGTCAGTCTCTTGGCAGTTTTGAGATGACCTGAGCCTATTAGATCAGAAAGGTGAAATCTCATAACTGGAGAAAATCAAAGACCCGTCTTCTCTAAAGGAGCCATCATCATTATTTGTATCTCCTGGGGTTTAGAAGAGAAAGAACTTCCTTTCTTCTGTGAACAAAGAGAATCTCGTGATTCAAAATTTAGACAATTTTCCTGTTCAAGCTTTAAAAAATTGCAGTTAAATGCCAGAGAAAACTCAATCTCCGTAAGTGCCAATGGGCATGGTGCTTCAAAATCTAACATTTTGAATTCCAAAAGCTATGTCTCTAATCTAGCAGCCTTCGAGTTTACAAAGTTAACCTTTTATTATATACCTGAGAGAGGCCTTTTAGTACTGAACCAATATTTGGAATTGCAGACCAGTGAACATTTCGATCAATAAGTTGCCGAGTCCAGAAGTAGATTCCATAGTTAGAAAGCTGGACACTGTCAAAAAATTCAAAAGGAACCCAATAAACAGAACTAAGGGGAAGCATTCCCCATAAAAGGAGCTGCATAAAATCTTTAAGAGGAAAGATATAAATCAAATCATGTTCAGTGTAAAATTATTTCACTAGTTTCCGACACCACAGACAAAATAACCATAGAATGTACCATATAATCAATGAGGGAATTCAAACAGCTGCAACATATTATACTAATGAATAAGTAAAAGTGCACTTACAAGAAAGCCAGAATTGATTAAGAGGGAGATGTCTTCATCCTTCACCTTTCCTCCACAATTTACACCGCCGCAAACCATTTTTCAGTTGGATTGTAATTGTATTGTATTGTATCTACATAGCGATTTGTTCAATCATTATCTTGTTACGCGCATTAAACTGCCTTAAAAGAAACCTTCTCCGAGAAGCACACAGATACTCCAATCACTCACAAGTTCTTGATGTCCAATACTGGTTTTGAGTTTCAAATAAATAATGTGTCATTTAAACCAATTAAAAACTTCAAGAATATCTTCGTCCTTTTCTTTGAATCTTTTCACAACCCCTTCCATCTACATATATATACAGACAGTAAGAAGTTCATCAATGTACTGCCATGTCCTAACAAGGTTTTGACAAGGCACAAAATTGGAGGAAGCACACACCCAGACCATGTTTAGTGGATATTCATTACTTCTTTTTACAACAAGATAGCAAGATAGAGAAGCATTCCTCACTTAGAAAATATATGATAAAATGCAATCCTGCTTCTGAATAAACATCTAAATATTCTTGTAAACAAACCTGGCAAAGATAGTTATCCAAAAAGATTATTGCATGATCGTCTTGTCCAGTATTTACCTTGAAAACCCGTAGTACTTTCTCACTTCTTAGAGTCTGCAAAATATTAGTAACCTAGGTCAGTCATAAGAGACTCCTGAAGGAAGAAGGTGCCAACTATCTTAAAGTGACATTGCACCTCATACCTAGAATCCAATTCCACCATTGATGGAAAGAAACAAAAGTGTCAAGTCAAATTTTGGGATAAGTTCTATATGTACTGATCAGTAACTAAGATCATTGATTCAATTCTCAAGCAAAAGAGCTTCACAACAACATTACTACTCTTGTAAAAAGCAGATTAAAAATGTATTCAAAGTTCAAACAAATTTCTGTTATCTTCTTTCAAGTTCTCACGGACCTCTAAAATCTCGGTCCACCTGTGTTCTGTCGTCTACAATGCCATACAACTGTGACCGCAAAATGAAAAGCTGAACTGTTACCTGAAAAAGGCATGACTAGTTGGCTAGAGCACCCAAGTTCGAATTGCTCCCCTATATAATTAGATTATAATATCGCTCAAATAAGACAAACAAAAATCAAATTGCCACGACGAATACAACTGACTAACCACCACTTTAAACAGTAGCAAACACTTAGGAAACAAGAAAAGCTACAAATTCACAACTATTTAATTAACTCGGCTGCTTGTGAACTCCGAAACGTTAAAAAAAACAATCACATCAAAATCAAAAGTATAGAATCCTAACCTTTTCGTTGTTCGGAAACTGAGCTCGCATCATCCGAAGCCCAACCAACGTGCTGCTGAATGTAAGATTTTCCTCTGCATTTGCCCAACAATTAATAATTGCTGATTAATATGAACTACCCAAATGCAATAAAACATTTCCCAGATTTTTAAATCCCTAAAAATGATCAACTAAAAGTGCAAAAAATACAAATTTTAATTCTTTTTTATGAAAACAGTGAGGATACACCTAGTCTTGGAATCTGATCGAAATCGCCGGTTGGGGCATCAATGTCTGCTTCTCGCGGGCGTTTTTTACCTTTCAAAGATTCTGAAATATTATTCGCCAACTTTTTGCTTGTGGGTAGGATCCGAAATTCGATTTGGGATTTTAGGTCAAATAAGGAAGAAAAAAAAACCCTAAATCGAATTGTCTGATTTGGGGTTTTGCGAAAAGTTTGAAGCTTTTTGCTTTGCTTGTTCATGTCGGTTGGAGGAAACCGCGTAAAGATTGTTTTTTTCACCGCGCGACGTACAACTAACGGTTAAATTGACCAAAAACGACATGTTGTCTGAGTGGGACAGTCGTGCTAAAAATACTTCACGATATTCTTTAATACAAGAGATATTGGTGGAACAGAAAAAAAACCATTGATGAAAGATTTTGGTATTCACTTTGAAGGGAAGAGATCTCATTCAGATCTCTCTCATCAAGTTTTAAAGATCTAAAGATTTAGACTCTTAAAATTTGAATTATTATAATTTAAGGGTTCTCTTTTTGTAGTCGTTAAATTAAATTTCAAAGGCCTGAATTTTCGAATCCTTAGGATTTGGTGGGAGAGATCCGGATGGGATCTCTTCCTCACTTTTAATATACAAATTCCTTAATGTTAAGGGTATAAGATAAAGTAATGGGGAATTCTAATTTAATAATACTTGACATCTCTGAAATAGATCCAAAAACGCCATCTCATGCAATCACGTCGAAGTAGTTGCATCATAAACGATCCAATTCAATAGCTTAGTGACCTCCGATTTGATCCACTAGTAGACAAAGAATTATGTTGAAAATATCAAGTGATAATTGCACATTAAATAAGAAATGTTTGGTGAGGACATGCTGACTTCAGTTTGACACGATATAAGTTTATATGACAAATTCAAAAATGTTTAATGAAAACTATATATATACAATATGAAAAAAGTTATCACGGTAGATTATATTGTTAAATTATAAATATATAAATTAATCACTTAGAGTATATTAGTTTATTTGAAATAAAAAAAGTAACATGAAAGATACATGGTATGAGATTAACTCTTTGTGTCACTCTAATTCCTATTTTGCATGTAGTACATTATAAAGGAAGTCAATAATTAGGCTAATTTGAACACTTACGTGTCGTAAAGATAAATAAGAACGTTGTGATTCTAATTCATTAGTTTGCAATTATTACATTACAAAGTATAATACTTGTGTAACTAAACACAATAGATTTGAGAATTAGACTAATTTAAATGCATATGTGCCATTAGACGTATATTGAAAAATCAAGAATAAGGACCTAACCGCAAAATAACTGTGATGTCTCGGATTAGAGGACTACTTTATATTGTTCCAAATATGAGTTTTTATGTGAGAACTCCTTGTTGATTGCATTCAATGAACTCACTTCCTATTAAGCACCTACATACTTGTCTTGGTGTGATTTTAACTAATGCCTCCAAACCAGTTACTCTGACACTATCCATGGAGAGAAAACATAATATGTGTTAATCTATATGAATTAACCAATTTTCAATCTATAATATTTAATGAGACGACTTTAAACAATAATACTTACCTTTATGCTAAACCAAATTAATTTAATATGTGAAATGTTCATAAAGACTTGGTGAATGTGTAGATTTACACAATCAGCCTCTCACAATTAAGACTTTGGCACTTGACTTCACTTGTAAGTAAGAGGTTTTAGATTCGATTCTGAGCAAAGGTAAATTTGAACCATATTATTGATAGGCTATTGTGAGATTGAGTCCATCTCCGTGTAGATAATATCATTTACCAAAAAAAAAAAAAAACACTGGACACTTCCCATCCCACTTGCCACCAATGCTTTGTAAAAAATAGTGAAAAAAGAAAAGGACTTTCACTTTCACGCGCCAAAATCTCCCATGGGACGTGTAAATGCCGCGTATTCACTCACTCCTCTCCAAACAACCACCTATATCTGTCGTGTTTTCTCACCGTCGCCGTCTCTCTCTCTCTCTCTCTCTCTCTCTCTCTCTCTCTCTCTCTCTCCTCTGTAGATCTCACTCCTTGTTTATTACTCGAATAGATCTCACCCTCTCTCTCTCTGAGTCAAATTCTCACATCACACATTCTTTTTCAAGATTCTCACTCCTCACTCATAAGAATTAAGGACCCCATCTCTCTCTCTCTCTCTCTCTCTCTCTCTCTCTCTCTCCTCCGAGAAAAATCCATCTCTACAAGGACCGTCCTCTGGTCAATACTCATCCAACAACGGACGCCATCTAACGGTTCAGATCCATCCCCACTCTCCAATCTCACTTACTCTGTTTATGGCCCATCTGCAATTTCGAGTCTCTATCCAATAAAGATCTGATTTTTTTACTGTTTTTCTAAAAATTTTCATCTGGGCAATTTCGAATCGGACGTTTTCAGCTTTGGGAATTAACACTGCCGACGATTTTTGCGATTTCACGAGCTGGGTCGTATCAATCTCTGTCAATTTTTGTTTATTGAAGTTGAAGGTCTCACGTTTATCATGTATATGGCAACTGTCAACTGTCGGTGCTTTTGCGTTTGCTAATGCCTTGCATCTTATTTTTTGGGTTTCTTGTTTCCAATTTTATCCTCCTCGCTCTTCACTCTTATGCTTTCTATTGGTATCATTCATTTTTATATGCCATTTATTTCAGCTAATTTAATCTGTGCAGACAAATCAGGTAGTGGTACTTTTTTTTTTTTTCCAGATTTGTTCCTCTTTGAAGGAACTGGGTCAGACTGGAATTCGTTTCTTGATTGCTGGGATTCAATTGTTGTTGTTTTTTGAACTTGTTTCACTTGCTTTGGTTTGGTTGGTTTCGGTTTGTGAGTATCTAACACTACCTTTTAGCTGTTAGTTTCTGGTTTTCCTTTTCTGTTTTAATTAATGAGGTTTTCCTTTTCTGTTTTAATCAATGACATTAGGTATTATCTCAAGTCACAAGTTAATATCTTCTTCTTTTTCGTATAATATGGATTGGATTAGGACGATTCATTGTGAATCTTTGCGATTTTACTAAATCGAGTTATGGAAATACAGTGGAGTCATAGAGAAACTTTCATCTGGATTACTTGAAGTGATGAGTTGAATGTCTTAATCTTATATGTTAATTTTCAATGTTTGAATTCGTAGTATCGCAGATCATTTTCTTTATGTACTGGCATTGTATCCGTAATCGATGGAACTAACCAGTTTAATGTTGTTTAGGTGATTGAAGCTGTTTCTGGAGTGAAACATCGACTGATCTTTCTTTTGGAGTGAAACTGGAGCTGGCATCTTGTAGCTTGATTTTGAACTCTGCATGTTGAAGTCGAAGTAGAAGGGTGATTTTCTTGTTGGTTTCCAACAATGTCTCGGGGGAGGGCTGACGGGAGCCAAAGGAAACGTTTGGTCACCTCAGTTCTTGTTTTGGTGATCATTTGTGGTCTCCTATATTTGTATTCTAAGAAAAGTGGTTCCTCCGCTCTCGAGTATGGCAGTAAGATTAGAAAATTTGGTTCTACTTACTTGGGTGTGGATGAAGATGTTGACGAATCACCTCCCAAACTTGGTGACGATGAAGAGGATGGCGTTGTATTGAAGAGCATACCGGTGAGATGCCTTCGCTAATATTTACCATGTCGTTTCACTTCATGGTGTACTTATGAGTTATTTATCTGAGTTATATATATTTTTAGACTAATATAAGTATGTTTTCAATGATGAAGGTTTGTGATGATAGACACTCAGAACTGATTCCTTGCTTAGACAGAAACCTTATCTACGAAACAAGATTGAAATTGGATCTGTCTGTGATGGAGCACTACGAGAGACACTGCCCAGTGCCTGAAAGGCGATATAACTGTTTGATTCCACCTCCTCCTGGATATAAGGTGAGATCCTGCTTAAGTCTTTACATCAAATGGAATTGAACGAGGAAAGTTTGTATTAGAAGTTTCGCTTGAATAATATAGTCTGAAGCTTTTCTGCTGTTTTTATGTAAATAGATCCCAATCAAGTGGCCTAAAAGCCGAGACGAGGTATGGAAAGCAAATATACCTCATACCCACCTTGCGACTGAGAAGTCTGACCAAAAGTGGATGGTTGTCAAAGGTGAAAAGATTGGATTTCCTGGAGGAGGTACTCACTTCCATTATGGAGCTGACAAGTACATCGCATCAATGGCTAATGTAAGACAGTGGCCCTTCACAGGGTAAAAATTGAATTAGTCAGTAGAAATTTAGTAAATCTGTAATATTTTCTTTTATGATAAGACAGTGACTATTTTTGGTTTGGATTGGCAGATGCTCAACTTTCCTAAGAACATTTTAAATAATGGAGGAAGGCTCCGAACAGTCCTTGATGTTGGTTGTGGTGTTGCTAGTTTTGGAGGATACCTGCTGTCTTCTGATATTATTGCAATGTCCTTGGCACCTAATGATGTTCATCAAAATCAGATCCAGTTTGCATTGGAGAGAGGAATTCCTGCATATCTTGGTGTTTTAGGGACCAAGAGACTCCCTTACCCTAGTAGATCTTTCGAACTGGCTCATTGTTCTCGCTGTAGGATTGATTGGCTTCAAAGGGATGGGATACTTCTCCTTGAGTTAGATAGGGTACTTAGACCAGGAGGTTATTTTGCCTACTCATCTCCTGAAGCCTACGCACAGGATGAAGAGGATCTTAGAATTTGGAAAGCTATGAGTGCCCTTGTGGAACGGATGTGCTGGAAAATTGCTGCTAAAAAGAACCAAAGTAACAAGTCGGAACCTTTTTTTGGTCTATTACATTGTTATTTGAGAAATACTAATGTAGAAAATGGACTCTCCCGGAACTATAGGTTGCTGATACTTTTGCAGTATCTAGTTGTTTAAATAGCAGAGTTGAGAAAGCATTTACATTTTGTTGGTGTGTTCTTTTCAGAAAACCATAGAGCAAGAGGAAGTGGTTTGGCTCCTTGGCCTGCTCGATTGACTACGCCTCCACCCCGTCTTGGTGATTTCGGATATTCCAGTGACATATTTGAAAAAGACATGGTAATTCTTAAAAAACCTGCATCTTTTTTACCTACTCTGCTATGGTAATATTCACATGTATAAATTACAAACATACAAATACTTGGTGTATGACAGTATTGATGTGTTGCAGGAAGTTTGGCAAAAAAGAGTTGAAAATTACCGGAATCTTTTGAGCCCAAAGATTAATTCCGACACAATAAGGAATGTGATGGACATGAAGGCAAACCTGGGTTCATTTGCAGGGGCTTTGAAGAACAAAGATGTTTGGGTTATGAATGTGGTGCCAGAAGACGGACCTAACACACTAAAAATAATATACGACAGAGGACTGATAGGCTCAGTACATAATTGGTACGTTGGACAATCTTTATGAGTTAATTTGCCTTTTGTTTTTGATATTCACTCCCTGTATGATTGCGACAAATGGAAAGATGACGATGAGGATGGTACTACTCACTGCTGGCAAGGCAAACTAGCCCATGAAAAGTTTCAATTGGAAACTTGTAGAACCTTGAACCATTGAGGTAGTTGGTGTTTAGAATGAGAAATTCCCACCTATATAGTTATGCTGCCATGTATAGATTTGTTACTCTTGAAATATTACTAGGCAAGATCTCAGGCTTACTTTCAATCTTAGAAACGAGAGAACCTTTCGTTCGATTGCATTAGGCATTAGTGCATGATGTATAAACATGATACTAATTTTTCTTTGCCATTGTAACATTGATCAAATATTGATATATTTGTGTGGTGCAACTTGTGACAGGTGTGAAGCCTACTCGACCTACCCACGAACTTATGATCTACTTCACGCTTGGACCCTCTTCTCCGATATTGAAAGGAAAGGATGTAGCGGAGTTGATTTGTTAATTGAGATGGATCGCATCCTGAGGCCCAAAGGTTTCATCATTGTGCGTGATAACCGAAAGGTGGTGGAGTTCATAAACAAATATATGAAGGCGTTACACTGGGAAGCAGTGGCTACCGCTGATGCAGAGGGAGGCACCGAGCAGGATGATGATGTGCTGTTTGTTATCCAGAAAAAGATTTGGCATACGAGCGAGAGCTTTAGAAATGTAGATTAGCGCAATATGATCCCGGCATTTCACAGGGTTGAAGGTGCTGCTGGTTTTATTTAAAATTTTCCTCAGCTTTTCCAATTTTCTTTGTTCCTCTAACTGATACAGAAAGGTCACAAAATATGTTTACGTTCTATTTATATTTCATTGGGAAAGTGTAAGATAATCACTTTCTGCCATTGATTGGAGAAAAATAGAGGCATACCCCATCTGCCTATGAGAGGATTGAATCTGTAATCTTTAGCAATATATATGATACTAACGGAAAAGTATACGAGTGTTTTTCTCTATGCACTCGAGTTCAAATTTCATCCTGCTCTTTAATTTAACTGAAGATGATGTTTTTTGGAGTTAGGCCATTCTTGGAACTTGCAGAGGACGTCCTGATCTTTAAAACAAGACCATTTGGGTTGGATTTGGTGTTGGTTTGGTCCAAAAACGTGAAAGATATCTGACTGGGCATCTTGTATTACGATTGTAATTAAAGGTTATCATTTTGTTATTTTGTTTCCTAGTTTTCTGGAAGGCCTTATTTAGGCAGGATTAGGAATGAGGTGCTGTTTATAAGCGCCAACCGGCCACTAGGATTCCACTACACGACTTGGCGAAACTCTGGTGAATTGCAAACTACAAACTACAAGGGTGATTTTCTTTTACTTAACTCTAATGGTGTGTGTGTGTATATTTATATATTATTATGATTATGCGTAACTAATTCTTTTTGTTAGGACGACACCACAAGTCTCGACATGAATATGTAGTCTCTTATCAATTTACTTATAAAATTATGCATGTTTGCTTTGAATTATTAATCACCGCGTTTAAATTAAGAGTGTGATATCCACACACCCCTTTTTACTTTTCCCACACCTTTTTGGTTTTCGGCTGTCAGATCGGATGAATTGAAGAAGATCAACGAACATAAATTAACAAGGGGTGTGTGAGAAGTAAAAAGGGGTGTATGGATAGTACACTCCTTAAATTATTATGTCTTAATGCTTAGCTACCATTAGGATATTTAAACAAGTACTTTAATGCAATTTTTGTTGAAACATTCCCCTAAAATTGAGGAGGGCTTCTTGTAATTGATAATTGTATTTCACTTAAGGCGAATATCACACTCTTAAGGGTTGCATGGTTTTTCAAAATGTTTTCGCAAAGCTTATTTGAGTCTTATATATCTATATTTGATATGAATATTACAAATGAATTGCATGTTAAATATAAGTTCTTGCTTGAACATCACGAGAAGAATATGCATTAGAAAAATCTAACTTTCAAAGTATGTATGTAGTAAATTCATAAGTAATTGATAGAACTTTCCATAACTGTTAATGGCGACGACTAAACTCTAATGCCTTTTACATTTGATTTTTCCAAAAATTATTTCCTTTTCCCTTTGCCGCCGAGTTCTTTACAAAAACCAACTCCAATTATTTTATTTTCAGTTTCTTATTATTTTAATTCACAATTTCAAATCTTTACTAAATCTTGTGTTGAATAGTTAGCTAAAAATTGGTTTTAAATACGAATTATTCATATGAATCTTTGTAGAGAACGATCTTGTTTGAGCTATTTATACTACAATTATCTTGTTCTCTTACAAGTATTTTTAAGTATTTTTCTTGTTCTCTTGCAAGTATTTTTAAGTATTTTTATTCTTACTTTTGCAGGTGATAAAACTCCTATTAGCGCACTTAATCAAGCATAGTATTCACTTTCACCTGATTAAAATTTCGAGTACAAATCACTTAAAATAATCCTGAGCATAAGTACTGATTTATGTTGAATGAAAAACTTAACAGAGTTATGATAAGAAGACAAATTAATGATTTTAGAAGGTTGATATGGCAAATCACTTAAAATTTTAGTTCTATAATATTTTAAAATTTTTCCTCATTGGTAAATAACCAACTCACTTATTATAATGAAAACTGTGACATCCAACATCGTCCAGGAGAGTGATCCTTATATGTATATTCTCATTCCTACCTAGCACGAGGCCTTTTGGCAGCTCACTGGCTTCGAGTTCCATGGGAACTCCGAAGTTAATTAAGTAGCGCGCTAGAGCACTCCCAGAATGGGTGACCCATCGGGAAGTTCTTGTGTGAGCTCCCAGAAACAAAACCGTGAGGGCGTGGTCGGGGTCCAAAGCGGACAATATTGTGCTACGGTGGTGGAGCGGACCCGGGAAGTGGTTCCCCTCAGACAGTGATGTGACAGAAACTATATATACAATATGAGAAAAGTTTTCACAACAAATATTTATAGACTTTTTAGCCAAAATAATGTTTGAGATTGACATAACTCCTCACTTTGGTCCTTTATATTTGAAATCAATAGAAGTGGTCATTGAGTTTGTTCACATCAATCATTTAGGTCATCTATTGAAAAATATATTAAATAAGGATAAAATGACAAAAATACTCTCAATTTTTGTCAAAACATTTTGGCCAATTGTTTATTCAATTGAGAGTATTTTTGTCATTTTGATCCTTATTTAACAAAAAATTTCACGAAAAGATTAGAATGATTGATGATAGACAAAGTCAAAAACCATTATATTAATTTCAAATCTTATGAAACAAAGTGATGAGTTATGTCAATCTTAAAGATCATTTTGGATAAAAAAACCGTATTTATGTTGTTAGATTATAAATATGAATTAATCACATATAGTATATTAGTTTATTTGAAATAAATAAAGATGGAAACATGGAAGGTAACTCTCTCGTATCACTCTAATTCTTATTTTGCACGTAGTACATGACAAGGAAAGTCAATAGTTAGGCTAATTTGAGTAATTACGTGTCGTAAACGTAAATAAGAACGTCATGACTCGTAATTCCAATTCATTCTTTTGCAGTTATAACATTACAAATTACTGCATGACTCACTTTCATTTTGTGTGTGTAACAAAACACACAAAAAATCGAGAATTAAACTAATTTAAATACATATGTGTCATTAAGGTACCGTTTGGTATGTGGGACGAGACGGAACATAGTGAAACAAGGCGTTCCGTCCCACGTTTGGTGCGTCTAAAACGGGTGGAACGAGCTATTCCACGGGACGAGTTTTGGGTAAATTTTCGTTCCGCCTCACCCCTTGGAACGACTCGTTCCACATCCGTGGAACACAAAATTATAACCTCTCCGTCTCCTTCTTCTTCCTCCTTGTTTCCATCAAGGGCATCTTTGCTCCCGCTCTGTTCTGTTCCGTCCTGTCCCGTCCCATCCTGTCCCATTCCGTTCCGTTCCGTCCCTTCTGCATACCAAACGATACCTAAATGCATATTAAAAGAATCAAGAATCATATTAATTTGGATACATATTATAGATAAGTAAGACTATCTCCAACCGAATGATCCAAATGGCCGAAAATAGTCCGAAAATCGTATCCAACTGAGGGCTAGGTCTGAGGGCTTGTGGGCCCCAAGAAATCTGAAAGGGCCAAAGGGTTGGCTGTAGCCAGCCAGCCCGGGGTTGGCCAGAAATTAAAAAAATCATGTTGGTTATAACCAACAAGAATGCTTAAACAAAAATTTGTAAAAAAAAAAAATTTGTTTTTTATTTTATTTTTTGGGCCATTTTTTTTAATTCTTAAAAATTCTAATTTTTTTTTTCTTATAAATACCTAAACCATTCATTAAATTTACGTTTTAACTTTTTTGGTTTTTTGGGCTAGTTACCGTTGTAGTTTTTAAGTATAAGTTGTAGTTTTTAAATTTAAGTTGTTGTTGAATTTGAATTTAAGTTGTTGTAGTTTTTAAATTTAAATAATAAATTATGTTTGGCCCTATGACCCTCGGTTGAAGACGATTTTTTGTGACATGACTAAAACGAGCCCTATGACTCTTGGTTGGAGACGGAGATAAATATGATCATGTATTGTTTATTAAAATATTAATATTTTAGAAAGCTAGATGGTTAAAACGAATCATCTGACCAACTCTCGATTGAAGATGACCTAAACATGCCATGACGTAAAAATCAACCCGGTGAATGTCTAGATTTACAGAGTCAGCCTCTCACAATTAAGACTACTGCCACTTGACACTCCACTTTCGGCCAAGAATTGGACATTTCCAATCCCACTTGTCACCAACGATCCGTAAAAAAAAGTGAAAAAAGTAAAGGGCTTTCACTTCCACGCGCCAAAATCTCCCATGTGACGTGTAATGCCGCGTATTCACGCGCTCGTCTTTCCAAACGACAACCTGTATCTACGTGTTTTTTCACCGTCACCGTCACCGTCTCTCTCTCTCTCTCCTCTGTAGATCTCACTCTTTGTTTGTTCTTGAATAGATCTCTCTCTCTCTCTCTCAGTCAGAGTCAAAATCCTCCCATACTGTTTTTCAATTATATTGTTTCCATACTTATGCTTTTCACTGGTCGGTCACAAGAACTAGGGACCCCGTCTCTCTCTCTCTCTCTCTAACTCTCTCGCTCCTCTGAGAAAAACCCATCGCAACCAGGTACGTCCTCTTCTCAATCCTCATTGAACAATAGACCCCATCTAACGGTTCAGATCCAACCCCACTCTCCAATCTCACTCACACTCTGTTTCTGCATTGCCCATCTGCAACTTCGAGTCGCTCTCCAAAAAAGATCTGATTTTTTTGCTGTTTTTCTTACAATTTTCATCTGGGCAAATTCAGATCGAACGTTTTCAGCTTTGGGAATTAACATTGCCGACGATTTTTGCGATTTCACGAGCTGGGTCGTATCAATCTCTGTCAATTCTTTTTTGTTGAAGTTGGTCTCACATTTATTATACATATGGCAACAGTCAATTGTCGGTGCTTTGCGTCTGTTAATGCTTGATCTTTTTTTAGGGGTCTTGTTTCTGGTTTTACCCTCCTTCATCTTCACTCTTATGCTTTCTACTGGTACCATTCGTTTTTGTATGCCATTTATTTCAGACATTTAATGTGTGTAGACAAATCAGGTAGTGGTATTTTTTTTCCAGGTTTGCTCCTCTTTGAAGGAACTGGATCAGATTGGAATTCGTTTTTTTATTGCTGGAATTTATTTTTTGTTTTTAACAAATCAGGTAGTTGTTTCACTTGCTTTGGTCTGGTTGGGCTCGGCTTGTGGGTTTCTAACACTACCTTTTAGCTGTTAGTTTCTGGTTTTCCTTTTCTGTTTTGATTAATGACATTAAGATATCTAAAACCACAACTTAATAACTTTTTCTTTTTCGTATAATATTGATTGGATTAGGATGATTCATTGTTGAATCTTGCGATTTAGTAAGTTGTCATCTGGATTACTTGAAGTGATGAGTTGAATGGTCTTAATCTTATATGTTAATTTTTAATGTTTGAATTTGTAGTATCGTGGATCATTTTCTTTATGTACTGGCATTGTTTCTGTGATCTATGGAACTAACCAGTTTAATCTTGTTTTGGTGATTGAAGCTGTTTCTGAAGTGAGACATCGACTGATCTTCCTTTAGGAGGAAACTGGAGCTGGTATCTTGTTGCTTGGTTTTGAACTCTGCATGTTGAAGTCGAAGTAGAAGGGCGATTATCTTGTTGGTTTGCAAGAATGTCGAAGGGAAGGGCTGACGGGAGCCCAAAGAAACGTTTCGTCACCTCAATTCTTGTTTTGGTGATCATTTGTGGTCTCCTGTACTTGTATTCTAAGAAAAATGATTCCTCCACTCTTGAGTATGGCAGTAAGATAAGAAAATTCCGTTCTACTTACTTGGGTGCGGACGAAGATGTTGATGAATCACATCCCAAACTCGGTGAAGATGAAGAGGATGGTGTTATATTGAAGAGCATACCAGTGAGTTGCCTTCGCTAACATTTACTATGTCGTTTCACTTCATACGGTATTTCTGAGTAATTTATCTGAGTTATCTATTTTTTAGGCTGATATAAGTATGTTCTCAATGATGAAGGTTTGTGATGATAGACATTCAGAACTGATTCCTTGCTTAGACAGAAACCTTATCTATGAAACAAGGTTGAAGTTGGATCTGTCTGTGATGGAGCATTACGAGAGACACTGCCCAGTGCCTGAAAGGCGATATAACTGTTTGATTCCACCTCCTCCTGGATATAAGGTGAGATCCTGCTTAAATCATTACATCAAATGGAGTGAGTGAGGAAAGTTTGTACTAGAGGTTTCACTTGAATTGAATAGTCTGAAGCTTTTCTGCTGTTTTTATGTAAATAGATCCCAATCAAGTGGCCTAAAAGCCGAGACGAGGTATGGAAAGCAAATATACCTCATACCCACCTTGCGACCGAGAAGTCTGACCAAAAGTGGATGGTTGTCAAAGGTGAAAAGATTGGATTTCCTGGAGGAGGTACTCACTTCCATTATGGAGCTGGCAAGTACATTGCATCAATGGCTAATGTAAGACAGTGGCCCTTCACAGGGTAAAAATTGAATTAGTCAGTGGAAATTTAGTAAATCTGTAATTTTTTTCTTTCATGATAAAACACTGACTATTTTTAGTTTGGATTGGCAGATGCTCAACTTTCCTAAAAACATTTTAAATAATGGAGGAAGGCTCCGAACAGTCCTTGATGTTGGTTGTGGTGTTGCTAGTTTTGGCGGATACCTGCTGTCCTCTGATATTATTGCAATGTCCTTGGCACCTAATGATGTTCATCAAAATCAGATCCAGTTTGCATTGGAGAGAGGAATTCCCGCATATCTTGGTGTTTTAGGGACCAAGAGACTCCCTTACCCAAGTAGATCTTTCGAACTGGCTCATTGTTCTCGCTGTAGGATTGATTGGCTTCAAAGGGATGGGATACTTCTCCTTGAGTTAGATAGGGTACTTAGACCAGGAGGTTATTTTGCCTACTCATCTCCTGAAGCCTATGCACAGGATGAAGAGGACCTTAGAATTTGGAAAGCAATGAGTGCCCTTGTGGAGCGGATGTGCTGGAAAATTGCTGCTAAAAGGAACCAGACTGTTATTTGGGTCAAGCCGCTGACTAATGATTGTTACATGGAAAGACCACCTGGTACTCAACCACCACTTTGCAGATCGGATGATGATCCAGATGCGGTCTATAATGTGAAAATGGAGGCTTGCATCACGCCGTACTCTGAGCGTGAGTACTATTTCCTCCATTTTCTAAATGATTTCTTAATTTTCGTGCTTTGTTAGTTGTCTTGAGAAGTCTCAAAGTAACATGCCAGAACCTTTTTTTGGTCAATTACATTGTTATTTGAGAATTACTAATGTAGAAAATGGACTCACCTGGAACTATAGATTGCTGATACTTTTGCAGTATCTAGTTGTTTAAATAGCAGATAGTTGAGAAAGCACTTACATTTTGTTGGTGTGTTCTTTTCAGAAAACCATAGGGCAAGAGGAAGTGGTTTGGCTCCTTGGCCTGCTCGATTGACTACACCTCCACCCCGTCTTGGTGATTTCGGCTATTCCAGTGACATATTTGAAAAGGACATGGTAATTCTCAAAAAACCTGCATTTTTTTTACCTACTCTGCCGTGGTTATATTCACGTATATAAATTACGAACATACAAATACTTGGTGTATGACAGTATTGATGTGGTGCAGGAAGCTTGGCAACGAAGAGTTGAAAATTACTGGAATCTTTTGAGCCCAAAGATTAGTTCCGACACAATAAGGAATGTGATGGACATGAAGGCAAACCTGGGTTCATTTGCAGGGGCTTTGAAGAACAAAGATGTTTGGGTTATGAATGTGGTGCCAGAAGACGGACCTAACACACTTAAAATAATATACGACAGAGGACTGATAGGCTCAGTACACAACTGGTACGTTGAACAATCTTTATGAGTTAATGCTTTTTATTTTTGACTTTCACTCCCCGTATGGTTGGGGCAAACGGAAAGATGACGGAGAGGATGGTACTCACTACTGGTTAGGCAAACTAGCCAACAAAAAATTCAATTAGAAACTTGTAGAACCTGGAACCGTTAATGGTGGTTGGTGTTTAGAATGAGAAATTCTCATGCCATATATAGATTTGTTACTCTTAAAATATTATTAGGCAAGATCTCAGGCTTACTTTCGATATGGGAACGAGAGAACCTTTTGTTGGATTGCATTAGGCATAAGTGCATAATGTATTAACAACATGTTATCAACTTTCGTTGCCACCGTAACATTGCATCAGATATTGATATATCTGTTTGGTGCAACTTGTGACAGGTGTGAAGCCTACTCAACCTACCCACGAACTTATGATCTACTTCATGCCTGGACCATCTTCTCCGACATTGAAAGGAAAGGATGTAGCGGCGTTGACTTGTTAATTGAGATGGATCGCATCTTGAGGCCCAAAGGTTTCATCATTGTGCGTGATAACCGAAAGGTGGTGGAGTTCATAAACAAACATATGAAGGCGTTACACTGGGAAGCAGTGGCTACCGCGGACGCGGAGGGAGGCACCGAGAAAGATGATGATGTGGTGTTTATTATCCAGAAAAAGATTTGGCGTACGAGCGAGAGCTTTAGAAATGTAGAATAGTGCAACATGATCCCGGTATTTCACAGCGCTTAAGGTGGTGCTGATTTTATCCATAATTTTGTTGCATTTGGTCAAGTTACATTTTTGTTTTCCACAGCTTTCCCAATTTTCTTTGTTCCTCTAATTGATACAGAAAGGTCACAATTTTTACGTTCTTATTTATAATTCATTGGGGAATTGTAAAATAATCACTTTCTGCTATTGATTGGAGAAAAGTGGAGGCATACGCCATCTGCCTATGGGAGGATTGAATCTGTAATCTTTAGCAATATATATGAGTACTAAAACGGATAAGTATATGCGCATTTTTCCTATGCACTCGAGTTCAAAATCCCCTCTTACGCCCCTGGCCCCTTGAATTCGACTACGAGTCTTTAACATGTCAAAGTTTTCGACTACCAAGTCACGAAAGAGTCGGGAAAGGAAAAACTGATGAGAATAATGATGTAATCGACGCAGTTCCTTGCAAAGTTATGTACTTTTGATATGTCGAAGTTACACTAATGATGTGAAGAGATGAAACCCGTCCCGTGGGTACAACTTTCTTTTTCGATAAATATGATTTATGGGTAAATAAAATTCTGAAGTTAAAGAGGTACATGTATAACATAACAAAGAGCCCTACAAAATTTGTTCTATAGACTCCCACGCTCTGTTCGTCTCTAAACGAAAGTTTCCTCACCCTTTCGATATCTCTTTCAAGGCCGAAAATTCTTTTAACCTCTCTAAATGGGAGATTGCTTGATTGCCATTTCAAGCAGATTTCAACTTGGAAGACGTAGAGGCCAGGTGGGAAAGAATCCGGTGTCCGACAAACAGCAAGAAGGCTCCCAACAATCCAAGCGTTTTGAGAGTCGTAAATAGATCCAACTGTACATGGAACAAACAAGTAGACAAAGCTTAATCCATGTGCAGGGAAACTAAAATGACGTTTACTAGTATGCCTAATCTTAAACAACATCTTTGTATGGTTGCCTCAGAAACTGCATTCAAAAGCCAAAATCATCTTCAATAAGCGTGCCCTGTGTTGCGAACAAAATATGGAATCTTACTTTGAAACCAAACCGTGAATACTCATATATATTAGTGTTATTTTTTGGGTTCTAGAACAGGTTACCCTATAAATATTAAAATGGGATCGTCCAGATCATTGGGGATATGAAGCAGATGGGAACCTTCCTGACTTAAAGTGCAAGTAAACAGAATTAATGGCATACCTTCAACCAGAAGAGCACATAGAGCAAAAGAACTGCAGCGATGCCAACATGGAATAGTATACCGAAGGTAGCGGGTACTGCTGAAGTGGGGAAATTCTTCAGATTCACCCCCAAGCGTAATAGCTGTTTAATACATAAAATACAGTTAATTAGAATACAAAATGGGTAAAAACTTCAGAATGTTGACAGCCACCAAATCTCTTTCGGCCCCTTCGTACTCTAGAGAATGTCAGTTTATAAACAGGTCACCTCAAACCAACTTGGACTTTCCAAGGGTATTCGAGCATGAACTGTTAATAAATTTCAGAGCCAAATGACAACAGATCAAGGATTCACTTAAGAAAGACTCACTCCAATAAAAAATCCAATCATTGGCAAAAGCACGAGGCCCAAGAAAACGAGAGAGAGCTCCTGAGAAGGACGCTTTTCTGGAACCCTAAAGATATGGGTTATCTCAGCTTTGGGCCCGTACTTTGAGTAAGGATCAACAGCTGGAGAAGGAGGGCGGGAGGCCTTCTCAGGTGCTTCTGGTAGATCCAAATCAATCTGGCCAATAGCCCGTAAGAAAGAGTTTTCCTGTAAAGGAAAGAAGTTCGCTTAGACAACAGCTCCTAAAAACTAAAAACAATTTTAAAAACTTGAGGAAAGCTCACGCTTACCATTACAGCATCGCCAACAGTTAGTTGAATATCATAACTACCAGACAGATAGTAAAACTTCTCAACTAATCCGAGAAAATCCTGTAAGAAGATACCAAAACCAATCAAAACAAAGAAATTAAAGAGCTCTCCTTGGGGGTATATCCATGACCTAAGATGGTGAAAACTGCACTTTTATATTATTCAGGTATCCAGACATTAATCATGGGTTTATTTATCACAGTATCACCTAATAGATAAATTAAAAAAAGAAAAATCTAAAGATCTACATTTCTAAAAGAGCGCTGCATGGCTCCACATAGTGTTCGCAAAAATCAGGCCCATTTGACTGCACATTCATGCATAGTGCATCTATGCAGGGAAAAAAAAAATCACATGTGAGTTGTGAAGTACGCTTTCAACTGACATTCTTGAAAAAAAAAAAAAAAAAAAAAAAAAGCCAAAAGTTAGGGGATGAAATCAAAGAAACTTTACCAGTATTTTCGCAAACTTTTGGCCAGAGATTCCCACCACAAAGATATGTTCAACCTTGGTCTCATGTGTTAACTTAAGAAATACCTGTGGCCCAACAAACGCCTAAGAGAACTGAACGGAGAGCATTTACTTAAGAATACAAATAGACACAGAATACAAACCTGATGAGGCTTAAAAGCATGCCCAGAAGGAGTGGTCAATTGAAAGGATAGACGCAGCTTTTGGAGGTGGTTAGCTGATAGCGACACAGTACTTCCTCTGGCTAAATCTAGTCTGGTAAATCGACGACATATAAGTAACAAAAAGTTTATATATTTCAGAAGTGAATAAGCACGGCCTTTGTCATATAACAATTATAAAAAAAAAAAATCCACGTTCACCATGTGATTACAAGCATCAACTTGCAGACAAAAATTCAGAAGAAGAAATGATAGAGCAGGAAATATAAACCAAATAAACTTTGAGTACGTACTTTTTCTGGGTTTCTATGCTCCCAATGTCACTATCTAGTACTGCAATCTCTGCATTTTCAATTTTGATAACTCCAGTGATAAATATCTGTACTTGAGTAGACCCTCCAGTTGCATAAACATTTTCTTCTTCAGAATCATGCAGAACCACCTACAAAAATTTGGTAAACTCAGTACAAATTGAGGCCACATGGAAGTTAGTCCAAAAGAATTCACCAAATGAAAGAGAAGGGTACCTCAAAGACAAATGTGTAACTTCCAACATCGATACTTTCTGGCAAAACATCCAAGAAATGGGACCCACTTTCTTTGTCAAACTTGAGTTCCTACATCACACACATGATAAAGCAGTGAACCAAACGCCATTCATGCAATAATCTTGTACAAAAGGGATATCCAAAACTAATTTTGTGATAGGAAGAAAACAAGGGAAAAAAAGTCATTACCCACCTGGCTTGCAATTTTAGACGCAGCTTTTGAACCAGGACTGAATGCTTTCACCAACTTCACTGTCAGAGGTGGTGCACTTGAACCAAGCACGGTATTCACTTTCACCTGATTCAAATTTCCAGTACAAATAACACACTCGAATTAACCAGAGTATGTTATTAGGCATAAGCAACATTAATTTGTAACTATATCTTTTCCTCAGCAAAAAAATTAATCCACAGCCGGGTGATATAACATTGATTCTGTGCAGGTCAATTAAAAGCAGTACACTTTAGAAAATAATATGAGCATAACTTAGTACAGGAGTTTGACTTTTGAAAAAGAGAACAAAAACAAAAAAAACAAAAATGTCAGATTGAGGAAAAAGGTAAACAGTGCAGATTTCAAAAAACAATACATACTATATATGTATAGATATATATCAAAGAAAAGGCATATCCTTCTATTGTAACCTAGGAGATATATATATATGTGTGTGTGTGTGTGTGTGTGTGTGTGTGTGCGTGTGTGTGTAACTGTGTACATATATATATATATATATATAAAATACGGTAATACCTCACAACAATCAGTTTCAAAGAAGAAATGCTGTGTTGATAAATTGACAAACCTGGAGCTGGTCTTTCTTGGTCAATGAAAGCACTGTAGCTGGAAGTGATAATACCAAAGGAATAGAGACCCTGCACCAGAAAAGAGAGAAAAAAAACACACAAATTAGGGCACAAAAAAGAAAATTCAACTTTAATGTTGCACTGCACGGTTAGAAATGCAAAATAATTGGAGATGCTATTCAATAAAAGAAAAGGGTTTAGCACTTGCTTATTGCTTTCCAAAGACGCTAATGAATCTATTTGGTTGAAAAAGTCTTTAGAATTGCCAGGAATGCCAATTCCAAGGAAAAATTTTGCTAGACCCAATATCTTGTCCCCTGGAATCTGCAAACTCTAAGCCAAAGCATTAGTATGCATACAATACCAACCCCATCATTCCCCAAAAAGAAACTGCATTGCACGGAAGAGCAGGAAAGAAAGTGGCACTGAGTATCACCTTTATGTTTCCAGATGTCACAGTTGCAAATGCTGTTAATCCTCGAATAACTGATGCAGTACTTGAAAGAGGACTCTGATGCTCACGCAGATCAACAACTTTTTCATCAAAGTAAATGGTCCCATCATCTAGAAAACATAGTTATATTATTTCACATGAATAACAAATATACCAGATAATTAAATGACAAAACCAAACTGAAAGCAGGATTGAATAATTCATGAAAATAAAACAAACACCCTTATAAGGAGACATCTGTTGGAAAATGATACATAGATACACATACCATATTTCTCAATACTGTCAAAAAGCTTCAAAATATCACTTTTCAATGTACCAATCTGCCCAGAGACAACATCATCGAGTATTAATAAAAATGAAATATATAATAAAAAGGACAAAAAATTTACAATAACAGAGTAGAAGCACATTATACAAATAAGATTTATACAACTGATTACACATCTATATAAAAAAAGACTAAATGGCACTGACAAATAAGTCCACTGATATTGGTAATTATTTGGTCAGTGTGTAAAGATATAACAATTCTGAGATATTGTATTAATTTACACTTCGTCTGTTTAAACATCCAATATACTATTAAATTAATGACATGCAATATATGAGACATGTTTCTATGCTGATCGTATAAACCACACTTGCATGCACAGTTAAACATAATGTGGCCAGAGGCCACATGTGCACCTTAAGCTTTCCAATGAATATAGTACACAACTCTTCTAGAGAAAATGAGTTCTTAGCATCAGTTCACTTTAGTTAAACATAACAAGAATATGTTTGATTGGTGCCTGTATAAGCAAGAGAAAGAATGTATACTGCCTTAGACTGATCAACTTCTGAAGATGCTAATGCGATAACTCCAGAAAGTGCTTCAAGAGCTAATCCTGCAAGAGGGGTAGCAAGCTCAAATAGTGAGTATAAGCCACTTACAGTTACTAAATATCTATACCATGTTCCGCAAAGATATAAAATAAATAGTAAAATAAATATTGGTCACCATAACAAAGAGCTGCTAAATCCCCTCTATTTGAATAAAGATCTAAGGGGAGCAAAGGAATTTAGGTGTCTAGAGCAAAAGTTAACACTTTACATCACCAATTGATCAGAAAAAGTTCTCCATGAAAAAATATGCAGCATAACAAAGTCATTACCAGCAGCATAGGTACTAGCCTCAGGATTATCCGAACTGAAGCGCCACCTTCCATCACTCTGGCTGAGAGACTGCAACAATATTTCACTATCATTCATAAATTCAAAACAGAAATATATTCTTATGCGAGACTTCAAAAAAAGTGAATGCAAAAGAGGGAAAATGATTGAGAGTTCAGAATCCAAACAACCCATTCGCATTACAAGGAAAATAAAGTTGTGACCAGATGCTAAGAATTATCTGACATAGCAAGTTCTGTCAGGACCTGGAGATAGCAAAAAACTGAAAATATTTCATCCAAGAAATACCACTAGTTGTTGTGGGAACTACCTTGATAGAATGGAAAACTCCACCAGCATCAGCAAGAAGTACATCGACTTCAGGACTTTGATCCTGCAGCAAGAAAGACAAAAGACAAGAATTAGGAAAAGAATTCATAATCTAAAGACGTGGCTGGTTTGGTATTGCTGTGCTTTGAAAAAAAACCACTTCTGCTGTGCTGTGAGAATAAGCTCATTATTGTTGCTTCACGTTTTCAGCTTTTTTTCACCCAAAACTGTGAAAATAAGCTGTTTTTAAGTGTTTACCAAACACCTTTTTGAGCTTAGCTTTTTTTTATACCCACTTTTTATAAAAGCACCTTAGTACCAAACCAATACGTACGGTCTCAAAGAAACACAGAAAAGAGGCCCTTGCACAATAGTTCAAACAATTAAAATAGTAACATTATTCAAAATATTTGCTTTTTCCCTGCATAGAGTTGATCTTATTTTCATAAATCACCATTCCTACATTTTGAATCTGCAGCCAAACTAAGACCTCAAACCAAAAAGAAGATGTAAACCTGAGTTGGAAAGTGCTGCCAAAAGGTAGATCAACAATTTACCTTAATAAGTACCAAGCTTCCAATTGAGTAGTAGAACTCGAGCAATGAACTTGCACCATTGACATTAGTTTTAAGTTCTGAAGCAATGCCCTAGACAAGGAATTAAGAATTAGTCACCAACTTCATTATTCTTCCGCATAACTCATAAATAATTACTTTCATGTCGAGAACAAAGAAAAGGGTGCTAAAGACTTAACAGTACCTCAAATACTTCATTAATAACCGTGCATTCCAAAATGCCGTTAACCTTTAAGGCATAGAACAAATACTTTGGGGCAGACGACGATGACCTGAGTTTTTCAACAACAGACTGACAAGTAGTGGTCCGTATATCGGACTTCTTATTAATCCCAAGAACCTCGAACGATCTTAAGGCTTCATATGCCTCTTCTAAACTGTCAACAATTTATCGAAATCGAATAATTAAAATCAAATTTGAAAGCAATATCCAAAATAAACTACTCTAATCACGCAAATGAAAACAAATTCCACCAGAATTAAACGCTAACGGCGCATTATAGTAAAATGCAGGGAAAAAATCGAAACTTTAACCTCAAATCGCAGAATTCTCAGCGGTGACGTCATATAAAAGTGAAATAAATACCTTTTTAATTGATCAATCGGATCATCCAAAGCATTTCATTTTCTCAGAAACCAAACGGAAAATACAAAATTAAACAAAAAGACTAATCATTTCGAGGTTTGAATTACCTCCCGAACGATCCATCGACGGGCGCAAATAGCTCCGCAGCCGCGGACCGGTGAGAGTCGGAAATCGGGTGGAAGACAGAAGCAGCAGCATGGCAGATCGAAACCGCCAAAACCAGCACCAGAAATCCGCCGAGGCTTCCGGAAGCCATTCCTGCAACAGTAACGAAACCAACAGCTTCAGATACGTAAATTCACTCGCGCATTTGTGTACGAATGCGATTCGGAAGACGCTAGGGTTTCAGATCGAGAGGAGGAACGTACTGAGAGCGTTGGAGAGAGAGAGAGGGAGAGATGGTCAGCGGGGGTGAAGTTCCAGGGCGCGACGACTACCGGGCGAGTGAGTACTGAGGAGAGAGAGTGAAGACTCTGGGGCAGCTACGAACGAGGCCTTCTGATTGATCGCGGCCCGCGCGTGTAATTATCTTATTTTTACTTCTTTTTTTCTTTCTTTTTCTGTACTTTGTTGCCTATAAATTAACAATCCGGTCTTCTGATTGATCGAGGCCTGTCTCTGCTGTCCCTGTATTTCGAGTAAATATGTAAAAATCAATTTGCCTTTACGTGCCACATTATGATGGACACTAATGCCATTTCCAACCGAAGTATCCACAGGATCAGAGGATTGAAAATAGTCTGAAAATTATCTTCAACCGAAGGCTAGGTCAGATGGTTCTGAAAGGGCTAAAAGGCCAACCAGCGGGGCCAAAAGAGTCAGCCAGCCAGCCCTGGGCTAGGCCAGGAATTTAAGAATTGATGTCGGATATAACCTACATCATTGTTATTAATCTTGTCAGTTATATCCGACAGGAATTTTTAAAAAAATATTTGAATCTAACGGCTAGCTGACATCAACTAGCCGTTGCTAGCTAAAGCCAGTTACCGTTGTATTCTTTTTTCTTTTTCTTTTTTTGGTTTTTTGGGCCTTTTTTTAAAAAAAAAAATTTCTTAAAAATTCTATTTTTTTTTCTTATAAATACTTAAACCATTCATTCACCATTCCTCACAATTTTTTCACTATTCCTACACCATTTCAATTCTCATATTTTCTTACCTCTTTCAAAAATATTTCCTTCAATTATTTCAATAATTTTCAAATGGCCTCATTTGCAACAAAAGGTAGGGCTTTGACCCGAAAAGAAGATGAAGCCCTTTGCAGGGCTCATAGATGGGTGTCGAAAGATAGTGTGAGGAGAAATTATCAAACAAGTGAAGGTGTTTGGACTCGTGTGTCCAAAAAATACTTAGAGTTCTACGAAGGCACTACTCCATTGAATGTTCGAAATCACGAGAGTTGTTCTTCAGGATGGAAGAAACATCTTCACCCAAATTTGAACAAATGACATCAAGCACTGTTAGCAGCCGCAAATAGACATGAAAGCAGCGCTAACTACTAAGATGAAGTAAGTGTTTTCACAATTTATTTTAAATATTTAATTATATTACATTTAATTTCATGAATTACTTTCCTTTAATGTTTGTAAATACATTTAATTATAGGGAAAATTACACTTTACCACCTTAGGTTTGGGGTCGATTTCAATTCCTTACAACATCTTTAAAACATTTCATTTTCATACCTCAAGTACTATTTTATTTCAATATAATACATCCATTACATTTTTCATCCATTGATCTGTTAAGAGCTGATGTGGTTGCTACATTTGTGCCATGTGGTAAAAAAATAATTTTTTAATTTTTTTTAAAACTTGAATCTTCTCAAAAAAAAAAAACTGAAATTGAAATTGAAACCCACCTCCCTGGAACCCCTACCCCCGCAAAACAAACCCAGAAACCTTATTCCCCCCTCCCCCCACACGACCCACCTCACCCAAAAATGTTATCCCCCTGACCCATGCACAGGCAAGCTCCACGAATCCATGGCTACCTAGTTGTCTTCCACTTGCGAATCTTGGGACCAAGTTCATCACTGTCGACGTCAACGATTAAATCGAGATCATTGCAAATCATGGTTCAACATAGCAAAGCCGTGGGGAATCAGAAACAAGAGAGACCCAATTGGTGGCGGTGAAATCAACGGATTAATGAAGGTAGTTCGGGTACGAGTACTCCGCTGGCGGTTGACCAGATGAGTTCGTGCGGATGAAGATGGAGTCTCTACGGATGGCCTGCGAGAGTGAGATTCTGATCCACCAACAGGATTTAAATGCCTTCACACCAAAAACCCTCAAGTCCCCAAGTCCAGCTTCTCATTTAAGTCTTTGACTTACTTGATTTTTCAAAAATTACTTCAATTTAGGGTTTGTATCTGGGCTGTGTTTTTCCTCACAAACAACTTCCTCTCTTTCTCCCTCTCCTCGCTTCTCTTCTCTCTTCTCGCTTGGGTCTGGGGGGATAAGGTTTTTGAGTTTGTTTGCGGGGAGGGGTTTTAATTTTATTTATTTATTTTGATTTAAAATAAAAATTAAAAAAAAAATTGCCATGTGGCACACATTTGGCAACCACGTGACATAAATGTGGCAGCCACATTAACTCTTAATGGATCAATGGATGGAAAATGTAACGGATGTATTATATTGAAATAAAATAGTACTTGAGGTATGAAAGTGAAATGTTTTAAAGATGTTGTAAGGAATTGAAATCAACCCCAAATCTGAGGTGGTAAAGTGTAATTTACCCTTAATTATCTTACATTTAATTTCATAAATTAATTTCCTTTAATTTTTGTAATTATATTTTCTACGTACGCCGAGCGGAAGAATTGTATATGGAGGGTAGCTCAAAACCCTTTTAGTTTCATAGTTGTTAGGAAATTTGTAAAGGGTGGGTGTTATTTGAGGATCCACCTCAACATAGAGTAGGTCCTACGCCGGTGTTTGGAACTACATCCTTATCTGCAAATATGGATGAAGATGGATGTCCTACCATTCAACAAACAAGGGTAGAAAATCTGTCTTTAGGTGAAGGTTCTATACCTAGGGTTATGGGACGAAACAAGGCACAAATGTTGAAGGAAAAAGGTAAGGCAAATGATGATTACGCCGCTCAATAGGAAGTGGCAGCCTCATTGCAATTAATGGCGGAGCAAACTGCCCTTGAGGCGGAAGAAAGGAACCGTAGGCATGAAGAATGGGTCAAACAAATACAAGAAGAGATGGATGATAAGAATATGGAAAGGAACGCTTCGAATTACACTCCAATGAGTAAGGCCTATTTTGATAGGAAAAAAAAAGAAAAGAAATTATGACCCGACGACAACTGTTTGCCTCTAACTATACTCCTACAATGGCGGATGATGAAGATGATGTTAATTATGGATACTAAATTTAAGTTGTTGTAATTTTTAAATTTAAGTTAATGTTGTTTTTAAATTTAATTTGTCGTTTTTAAATTTAAATAATAAATTATGTTTGGCCCTAGGGCCCTTTGGCCTTTGATTGGAGATGGTTTTTTGTGACAGGGCTAAAACGAGCCTTATGGCCCTTTGACTCTCGATTGGAGATGGAAACAAATATGACCATGTACTGTTCATTAAAATATTAATTTCTTGGAGGGCCAGAGGGCTAAAACGAGCCCTCTCGCCAGCCTTCGATTAACGATGACCTAAGACCATCTCCAACCGAATGAGGGCCAGAGGGATCCTCTAAGAAATTAATATTTTAATAAATAGTGCAGGGTTATATTTCTTACCATCTCTAACCGAGGGCCAAGAGGGCCATATGGCTCGTTTTAGTCCTATCACAAAAAACCGCATCCAATTGAATGCCAAAGGGCTATAGTATGGAATGTGAAGAATTGAAATAAAATGAGGTAAGATAATATGAAATGGTGAAAAATATGTGAGAAATAGTGTAGGAAAAAAATTAGGGGAAAAAAAAATGGGATGGGAATAAAAAAAAACAAAAAGTGGGATGTGACAAAAAAAAAACCTGAGCCCTAAACTCTAAAATGGGTTGGGCAAATGGAAAGAAATAAAATAAAATAATAATAATAATGGGCTAGCCAGCGGACTGGTTGAACATGGCCACCCGATTGGCCCTTTGGCCCTTTTTTGTCCCGTAGGACTCATGAGCCCTTTGGCCTAACTCTCGGTTGGAAACAGTTTTTGAGCTATTTTCGGCCCTCTAGACCCTTCGGTTGGAGATGGTCTAAGACAATGTAGTTTGTGTCACTAATATTACAAACGGGTCACGTGGGTCGTGTTCATATATATTTACAAATGTGAGAACTAAAATTTGACACAAATAAATAGCAAATTTGATAGTAAATTTATTGTGTAACTTAACCAGAATAGCCATAAGGAAAAAAAAGGCCTGTAGATGATAATGATGAAGGGCATCGTGTCTAGACGGAATTGATGCGCAAAAGGTACCATGTAGTGCGGAACATTCCGAGTCTCACGTCAAATAACTAAATGCACCTCGAGGTGCTGCTGAAGAACTGGAGTTGTATTCGTTATGTGGAATCAATGCTCTGGCCGAAAGAGCTTTAGACCATCTCTAATCGAAGAAGAGCTAGATAACTCATTTTAGCCCTCTGGCCCTCCAAGAAATTAATATTTTAATGAACAGTGCAGAGTCATACTTCTTACCATCTCCAACCAAGAGGCCAAAGGGCCATAAGCCAAACATAACCCTATACCAAAAAACCATCTCCAATCGAAGGCCAAAGGGCTATAGTATGGAATGTGAAGAATTGAAATAAAATGAGATAAGATAATATGGAATGGTGAAAAATATATGAGAAATGATGTAGAAACAAAATTAGAAATTAAAAAAAAAAAAAAAAAAAAGTAGGCTAGCTAGCTAAAGATGGCTAGCCGGTTGGTTTTTTGGTCTTTTTATATCCCATGAAATCCATGAGCTCTTTGGCCTAATCCTTAATTGGAGACGGTTTTCAAACCATTTTCGACCCTCTAACCCTCTGAACCTTTCGGTTGAAGATGATCTTACCTTTAGCACCTGGCTTTCTGCGGCACCCTTGTGTTGCGGAAAAAGCCACAATATTTTTTTAAGCAATCTTTTGTATAACTTTGGTGTTAAACGAGGTTGTCAAACATTGGCTAGTACAGACGAACCCTCGGCACCCGAGTTCGAATGCCCCTCCCCGCACTTTAGATTGGTTAAAATGAACTCCGAAATTGGATTAAGGTGCGATTCAAATCCATGGTTGTATATGTACCTTAACTTCGGTAGACAAAACCTTAACAGATAATCAGTCCACAATCATTTGTGGTGCCGCTACATACCGGTGGTAGACATTCAGTTACAGTCCCGAAAAGGTTCAACTAGATAACACACCTATTAAAACTTCAAGCTCCGAGACACTTCAAACGACGACATGAAAGCAGCTGAAACATGTGAAGTAGTCAGTACTTTAGAGGTGACTGCTGGGTTGGCAACAATCCAAAGCGCTTCTTCAGAAGATACCTTTGCCTTGAATATTTGTCATCAGGGGAGAAGCGGGCTGCAGTTAATCATGGGAACGAAACGGTTTAGTAACAAAAAAGAACTGGAACGCTTTTCGCACGGAACATTAAGAAGAGTAACAGACAACAGATCATCACAGAACTCACAACTTGTACACACATAACACAACCATTCAGAGTACAACATCGAGAATTCAGAAACAATCAGGCAACAGAGAAGACGTAAGTTACAGCAATCTATCTTATACTTTTGCATTTACAATAGCAATGATCGGAAAAATCTCGTGAAAGATTACAACCCCAAGCATCTAGAAATATCCAAAGGATTCGTAGTAAACAACCAGCCAGGAACTTAGGACTACTTTTGATTTCATCCGTCTCCTACCATCGCGCTAGCAGTAAACAGTGAAGATCCCATACTATATCAACAACAGGGTACAATACCCTCACTAGTCACAACATAACAATCAATGCAATCACCGATTCAGACAACTATCAAAGCAGAAAAGCTTATAGCAAGCTCGAAAAAAGACACAAACATCTCACCGGGATGGGCAGATTGCGTAGCATGCCCAAGTGGTGATTCCCTCTGCATTCACAAAAGCAAATGAAAAGCTCAATAAGTACCTTAAAAACCGGCAAGTTACTACGTGTTCTAACAACCCAAAACACTCATCATCATCACATACCTTGGTGGTGTACACTTTGTTGCCATTCTCGTTTATGTAGTACTGAAGATACATGCTGCCTGCTTTTTTCTTCAAACTGCTGAAAATTAAAGCAATTCTGCATGAAACCCTCACAGAAATCCTTATTAAAAAAAAACCCCACTGAAAATTTTCCGATTGAAATCAACCCATTAACTCCAACTAGTAAAATCCCTAGAAAATTTCTCGATATTTATTTTGGCGCTAAAAAATCTCGAATTTTATCAAAAAATGGTTAAGTAATCTTGAACTTGGAGGTTTTAAAACATGAAAATTATGAACTATTAAGGAGAAAAGATAAGAAATTGTTCAGAAAAAACATATTAAATTCGTACCTGAGCGCTCCAAAATGTAGGCGGATGAGAAAGTGCTTGGCGTCCGCGCTAGGGTTTAAGGTCAGTGAAGGCTCGCGGAGATATAGGCTGGATTAGTTTCCGAAATTACCCCTCTACTGTTGCTTATTGCCAAAACGAAACCCAAACTCTTGGCCCAGATAACAAAGCCCGAACTTCGACCACTTTGCTTAAATTTCCTAAAATCTGAAGCCCAATAGGCCCAATTCAATAGTAAGTAAGAGATTTAGAACCATATTTTTATGAAATTGTTATTGATACTCTGAAATGTAATCAGATCTCTCGTAACTTGTTAGTTTTATGTTACAATCATCAGGTACTTGATTCGATTGACACCAAGGTAGATGAGCGTCTCATAATTTCTTATAACTTGTTGGCCTTGTGGATCAGCTAAAGGTCAGCACGTCTTGAGTTTGATTTACGTCACGATTGAGATTGAGCTAAAAGGGTAAAAGGGTAATATCACATTATCTACTTTAGATAAAATCCAGTTGACCATTCAAGCAAACTCTGTCATTCACCTTCGAACCCACGACTCGCTGCAAACTCTTCTCATTTGAAACCTGCCGCCCACCATTTCCCCATTACTTCGAGTTCACGTCAAAATTCATCTCAAATTCTCCCCAAATCCAAATCACCAACTCCCTCACCAAAAATTTGATCCCCAAAAAAAAAATATTTTTTGTAATTTACTCGAATTATCAGCCGCATTGCTCGATCAGAATCCGGAAAAGCTCGAAGCTTTCTGCCCCCAGTTCGATCCCGAAACGATGTCGTTCGACGAGGAGGAGGAGGCGTTCGAGCACACGCTGCTCGTGGTCCGGGAGGTCGCAGTCTTCAAAATCCCGCCGCGAAGCACTTCCGGCGGATACAAGTGCGGCGAGTGGCTCCAGTCTGATAAGATCTGGTCCGGTCGGCTCCGGGTCGTGTCGTGCAAGGACCGGTGCGAGATCCGGCTGGAGGATCCGAACTCCAGCGAGCTCTTTGCCGCCTGCTTTGTCCACCCGGGCCAGCGCGAGACCTCCGTCGAGACCGTCCTCGACTCGTCGCGCTACTTCGTACTCAAGATCGAGGACGGCACCGGGAAGCACGCCTTCATCGGGCTAGGGTTCGCGGAGCGGAACGAAGCGTTCGATTTCAACGTGGCGCTTTCGGACCACGAGAAGTACGTGAAGAGGGAGCACGAGAAGGAGAGCAACGGCGGCGAAACCAGCGACGAGGGCCACATCGATATTCATCCCGCCCTCAATCATAGATTGAAAGTATGAAAATTTTTACTTTAATTTCACATTTTTAGTGAGCAATTTCGTTTATTTATGTCAGTTTTGGGGATCTGAAGGAAGGTGAAACGATAAGGATAAATGTGAAGCCAAAGCCGACGAGTGGGGCCGGGATGCTGTCCGCCGCCGGGCTATCCGGGACGACGAAGGCAAAACCTATTAGTTTGGGGTTGGCTCCGCCACCTGGGTCCGGGAAAGTTAGGTCGGCTCTGCCACCACCTCCCAATGACCCTGTTGCTGCTAGAATCAGCTCTGGTGTTGTCAAGTCGCCGGATAACACAAGACGTGGATCGGACCCGTTATCGGATCTTTCCCAGATTGAGGTATGCAAATGTTAGTCATTGTTGTTTTGGCACTACATTTCTTGTTCAGCTGTAATTGTTCTTCATCTTGAATTTGAAATTCGAAGTTCAAAATCAAATGGAATGTGTCTTTGAGTTTCAGTAAATATTAGCTATAGCATTTGTCATCGAACTTAGCTGACTAAAATGCTAGAATTCCACCTTCAGCATTTGCGTTTTGATTTGTTTAATGCTCTAATCTAGTCTAAACTATGGAACTTGAGTGCATAGGAAGGCACAAATTGTTTGATCGTATCTGTGTTGATTTTATGGAGACCTTGAGTATCAATTGTTTGTTGATAGACTGATCTCTGTTGTCTGTGCGTATTATTGAATTTTGATTGTATCCGTGTTGTTTGAATGGTAATGTCGAAGTATGTCTTGAGTGACTTGCTGCTTCTGACCATATATGGCGCATGTTTGTCATCAATGTCCCTAACTTATTTGATACTGGCCTTACCTGCCCTTCAATTCCTGATTGACCTGAAAAGTTGGTTCTGAGTCCCATTCTGAGAACGGCAAGCTCAGAATGAGTAGCTAGCCAACATTAGTTTATGTCCATACCTTATTGTCATGTGCGTTCAAAGTTTGAACATGTAGGAAGTGATTGCAATCAGAAAGCTTAGTTCTAGCAAATTTGGTATTGTTTTTCCTTTTGTTTCACCTGCTTTCTTCTGCGTCCTTTGTTTTTATGTCGATCGATGCATTTCTTCTCCCACAAAGGAAAAAGATGCAAACTCTGTCAGTGCTATGGACATTTTACTTATCGTTGCCTCTTGAAGAACCCTTTTTCCATAATTCTGATTACTGATGCATTTTCTTATGATTCATTTCCAGAGGAATCTTCCCCCCGCGACCGGATCAGGCTCGACAAAGACAAGTGCAGCTGGATGGGCGGCTTTCTGATTGTGTGAGCATCTGTTAATTATCATCGAGGTCTTCATTTGATTTTTTTTCTACCTTTTTTGAGGAAAAAGGAGTGAGAGGAAGGAATATGTGAGAAAGGAAAGAAAGCACGAGGTACCAAATACTTCCATATGTGTGTTTCCCCGCAATATATTTTCGAGCTTCTTTTGTTCATTGTGCCGGCTCTTTGTCAACTTACAGTTTCATGTTTTTGCTTCTATATAATAGAGAAATGTGCCTTATCTCTTTCATTTGCTATTTTCTCTGTTGTTTGTTCCTGGATGGATGTTAGTACTTGTATTATGCAATTTGACACTCTGGTCGACTCAAATAAGTTAGTTGGTCATTTTTGGTTCATTAATTTTGTAATAACAGCGCCGTCTGCCCATTAACGAAGGGGATGAGCGCAAAAGAGAGAACGGACGTGTGAAAATCACTCCCCTGTCATTTTCGTAGAAAACTTGAAACATATCTTGCCAAAACTCAAAGTAATTGTCTTTTTCATTACCGTATCAAGTGGTTTTTGTTGTGGCCTCCTTTCCACTAGAGTTGAGGGATAATTATCTCAAGAGTGCCTTGCAGGTTACTACTAGAATAAAAGTCCATAATTTTTCCATGGCTCTTTCGGGGGAACAGTCTTTTTCACAGCGCAATATTCTAAACTAGAGTAAATTGTAGTAACGGTGTTCTAACTTTAACTTAATTGGAGTAGTGGTCCTTTAATTGAAAATCTATTATCATTTGTCATTGGTCCCTTTATTTATCAAAACATGTAGTTATGATCTCTCAACTAAAAATCTATTACCACTGGTTCCTTAACTTTAATTCAACTAGAGAAATGGTTTCTCAACTATAACCAAATTTTAGCAATGATTCCTCAATTTAAACCCAATTGTAGCAATGATCCTTCCAACATAACTCATTTTGACAAATGTCTGACGAAGTTGACGAAAAAGATCATAGCTACACGTTTTGATGAGTTGAGGAATCTCAATTGTAACAATTGTCCTTCCAACATAACTCATTTTAACAAAATGCTAACGAAGTTGACGAAAAGGATCATAGCTACACATTTTGATGAGTTGAGAGACTAATAATAATGGATTTTTAGTTGAGAGACCATTGTCTAATTTGATTAAAGTTGAGGGACCATTGCTACAATTTACACTCTAAACTATTTCAATTTACAGAAGGAAGATTCAAACTCGAAACTTGGCTAGTTGACCTAACATTGTTAAATGGAACGAGTAAATGATCAACAACAACAACAAAAAACTCTTATCCCACTAAGTAGGGTCGATTATATGAATTCTAGAATGTCATTGTGCTCGGTGGAACGAATAAATTAACAGAACTCTACAAATTATTGTACAGATAAAATATATCCTATAAAAGATATTAACAATGGTAAAGGTTGAAATTAATCAGCACTTTCGAGCGATGAACTGACGGTTGAGATTACTGATGATCAAACCCTGGCTTAAGAACCCAAACTGCTCCGTTTTGGTTTTTCTCCAGTTTGGCTATATCCTTAAGAAGATTCTTAAACAAGGGAAGATCCCTTGATGGTATTCTGTCCTTGAAATGCCGCACAATGGTTGAAGAATCGGTACTTCCGCCTCTTTGTTGGATGAACGTACAAATCTGACGAATCACTACTTCAGGCTGCACTCCGCCTAAGTTCTGAGCCGTCCTAGAAGTTCCAACACCGAAGGATTTTGCTATGTTAAACTGATGCTCAATTCCGGCTTCCACGGCTCCTTCTTGGTTTCCTCGAATTTTTGCCAGTAATTCAGCAGAAGATATGCCTTTCCAGCAGGTGCCCCAGCCACAAAGCCATTTGTGCTGCTGCTGGGGCCTTCGTCTGACCGTTTGGTGTTCTTGATCAACTGGGAATTCACAGCAGACCCAAATTTCCCACGGAAAGCTGATGGTGCACCTGCCATTCCTGATTTCCCAGTCCTTGTGGGGACAGACACACCGTCACGGCTTCGAAGCATCCGTGACTGGCGCAACGCTTCCGCTGCTCTTTGTGCAACTCGGGAAGCTTGCTCATCAAGCTTCATCTTCTCTTCATAATGGGCATTCATGATTACATCATGGTTCGTAGCACTCTGAAGTCAAAATTTGAACAGCATGTAAAATAATAAATAAAGGGAACATGAAGAAACCGAACAATTTCTTGATTGTTTCCGACAAAAATAATAAGTTTATTTCAATTTAAGTTCCACAGCTGTAGATAAATCCTAACATGCCCACAGTTACAGTACTATAAAAAAAATGTATATACGGTAAACAAAGTGAAGAAACTTACATGTATCCCTTGGGCGTCAAAAAGGCACCTCAAAATATTTGTCTATTCATCTACTTCACCGTTACTCTGGTCAGCCTTTTCTTTCCCATTCCTCCTCGATGGTCCAGCCTCTGAGTTATTCGACTTGTCAGCCACAGCACCATTGGTAGACAGTACAGAACCTCTCTGAGATTCCTGCTTATCCGGCTTATCATTCTGCGCACCAACGACGTTGGAATCTTCAGATAATTGACCGAACAGATAGGCTGTTTCGGTAGACCCATTCTCTCTGTCATCACTCAGAGTGAAAAGATCCTTCATGTCTCTAGCTTTAAAGAACCTTTTCTTCAATATCTTATTGGTCAGGAAATGCTTGTAAATTTGTCTATAATATACCTTCTCCTCTATGGTTCCACAGGTGATCAATCTATATATAGTTACATCCCTCTTCTGACCAATACGCCAAGCACACTCCCTTGCCTGTTAAAAACACCCAGATTACAAGGTTTAACAAAGCACAAATCAACTATTCTAAACAAGGTTTAATGAAAATCCTGTAGGTATTACTTCAATAAGAAATATAATAGAAGGATCCATCCTCCTAAAATGTTCATAATTTTGCAAGGGGAACATATCTATGATTCTATCATAAAATTTTACAGAGGAGAAGACAAGTTTCCAAGTTCAAACATTTGCATCCAACTGAAAACTAGAAGAATAGTAAGTCCAAAATCATATACCTGCATGTCAGTTGAAGGGTTCCAGTCGGGATCAAAGATGATCACCCTATTTGCACCTGTCAGATCTGTTCCTAAACCACCCACCTTAGTTGTTAAAAGGAAAACAACCACATCACTTGAGTTGTTAAATTCATCTATTAAGGCCATCCTCTGTTTGATGGGAGTAAGACCATCCATCCTCCGGTAACTATAACCATCAGCAACCAGAAAACTTTCAATAATGTCAACCATTTGCTGAGTTTGTGAAAAAAGAAGAACACGATGCCCTTGATCCTTCCAAACTTTAAGCACTTGTGAAACAACTTTTAATTTCCCACTGCGTTCAAGATTCCCATAATCTGGATTCTGGCCACAATGTCCCTCTCAAGCAGATCAGGGTGGTTGCAGATCTTATGCATGACATCAATTCCATAAAGAGAATTCCTATTACCATCCATAATATGTTCTACATCAGAACTAGCAAGAAATGCTCTATAAGCAGATCTTTGTTCATCAGTGAGGCTGCAAAAGATGACATGTTCAATCTTCTTAGGAAGCTGGGCATTCACATCAGCCTTCATGCGCAGAAGAAGATACGGCATGATCAAGTCTCGCAAAACCACAGCACACCTGCACAATGAAAATAGTTTAGACTGAAAATACGAGAAGTTTCAGGAATAATCTATTTTATAATTTTTTTTTCCTTAAGGATGAACCTATAAGATAGTTAAGGAATTTCTAAAATTTGAAGTTACACATTCAAAGTTATACAAAATAATACATAAGTACTCTGTATGAATCTTGACATATATATATATATATGAGTTGGGCCATTTGGATATTTGAAAATATCAATGCAAACCTGTATGCAGTAGATACTTGTAAAGGTGAAGCATTCGCACAACCACCAACAGATATGGGAACTGCAAACTCAGCCTCAAATATGGGCAAGACCCCCAACTTTCCAGGGAAAACAAAATCAAACTAGGACCACAGTTCAGTCAGCTTGTTCTGAATTGGTGGACCCATCATTATAATACGGTGTACTGTTTGTAACTGCTTACAAACTAGAGTAATTTCTGCATTTGGGTTCCTGATTCGGTGTCCTTCATCCAAAACTGCATAACCCGAATCAACGTTGAGTAAACTTTTCCCTACAATACGGAGTTGCTTTAAGTTGTAATAGCAACCCGGATTCTGACCTCAAAACACGGTTGACCAAGGAATCCCATTTTTGGTGCTTTTAGACGATTCTGGTCTCACATAATCACTGTCTGATGAACCTTCACGATCAGAATCACTTTCATCAGACTTTGATCCTTTTTTTTTTAATAGCAGGCTCTCGAGCTGATTGTGAAGTAACTCCACATGAAAGCGTGGGTACCATTTTTTAGCTTCCCTTTTCCATTGGCGCAAAAGTGTAACTGGGCAGATAATAATGCTCAGTTTATACATTCGACTGAAATGCAATGCACCGAGGAAAGACAGAACTTGCATGGTTTTACCAAGACCCATCTCATCTCCAATAATTCCGCCTGCTCTTTGGCAATGCAGCTCCCATAGCCACTGGACCCCTACCTTCTGATAGTCAAAGAGTTGGTCAAAAATGTACTACGGAATTTTCAGCCCTCCTTCTAGGGTAACATGTGGATACTCATCATCATCATCATCTTGGTTTTCTTCTTCACAGCTGGGAGTGTCGTCTGCAAGAAAAATAACATGTCTCATTACTTTGCAGATTTCTATTGTCAAGCAAGGAAAATAGATATTAAACAACATACTTGATAATATCTTGTAAAGAATACATATACACTATTAAAACAACTTCTGTTTTACAAAACACTAAACTGTACCATACATCTGCCTAACACCACCATAAGCAATGACAACACTGAACATACCACTTTCATGCAAATTATTTTCCTCAAAATAAATGCGCTTTCTCCATCTTTTGTCAGGCAAAGGACGCTTCCTTTTCTTTCCTGAACTTTTATTCCTCTGTGTACCATTTTCTAAGAATTGAGGAATTTTAAGCGGTTTCCTTAGCCTCTAAAAGGATAAGTGGGTGGATCAAAATTTGGTAGAGCTTCTGGATCAAGCAGCTCTGTAGCTGGGCGAGCTTGAGCAGCCTCTGAAAGCGACTGCACTGCTCTAGCAACACTGGCTGAAACAAAATCATCACTCCTGCCTTCTTCTGCAAGAACACTACGCCTCTGAGATGGCCCTTGTTCTTGAAGGC